TTTCCAATATTCCCTACTTAGACTCTGCCTAGAAGGGTTCTTACTCTATGGGCTTAAAGGGCCGGGCAGTGGAAATCGCCCCCGGCGGTTCCGCCGGCATCCGCCCCGCGGTTCCCCCAGTTATTCTCTACATAGGCCCTGCCTAGAGGTTCTTATTCTCTTTCTTAAAGGGGCCGGGAAGTGGAAATCGGCCTGGGCGGTTCCCCCGGTATCCGCCCCGCGGTTCCCCCAGTTACGTCCCCTTAGCTTAGCGTTGCTTATCTCATCTGAGCTTAGCTTATTTCATCTTAGCTCAGCTTAGCTTCATCTTAGCTCAGGTTTATCTCAGCTTAGCTTACCTTCATCTTAGTTTCGCTTAGGCTAGCTTAGCTTAGCTTAGCTTAGCATAGCGCAGCGCTGCATTAACATTGCATTTCATAGCATAACATAGCCAATCATAACATATCATATACTATCATGCCATAACATAGCTTAGCATAGCACAGCGCAGCATGGCATAGCTTAGCTTAGCTTAGCTTAGCTTAGCATAACATAGCATAGCATAGCACAGCGCAACATAGCATAGCATAGCATAGCCCACCATACCATACCATACCATAGCATAGCATAGCATAGCATAGCGCAGCATAGCATGGCATAACATAACATAGCATAGCATAGCAACTAATGCTGCTTTCCGAGGGGCTCCAACTTCTAGGTAGGGTCGCACTGGGGTAATTTGTTGCTTTCTGACATTTTCGAGCGGCCGACGCTCCAAGACTGCCCGGGAAGCTTCCAAGCTCGCCCCGAGAGGCCCCCAAGAGGCCCCCAAGACGGCCCAAGAGGGCCCCGTGATCGGCTCAAGATGCCCCCAAGACGGTCCGTGCGGGCCTGGAGAGGGCCTGAAGACGGCTCCAAGATGGGCCCAAGAGAGTGAACGCGAACCGACCTTTCGAGTGTCCCGCCCCCAGGGGCCCCCGAGGAGGCCCCAAGAGGCCCCCAAGTGGCTCGAAGATGCTCCAAAGAGGCCCCAGAGATGCTTGAGAGAGGTCCGACAAGCTCCACAACGCCCCCGTGGAGGCTTCAAACTTGCCTCCAAACGGCCCCCCGAGAGGCATCCCACGATGTTATCCCAGCGAACATCCGAGAACCCACGACCCAGACACGGTTGCGGGATGGGTCCAGAACTGCGACCTTTGGTTCGCATGGGGGGCTGGGGGGGCCTCGAGGGCTCCAAGAGGGTTCAGAAGGGGCCCTGGGCCCTTCCAGAGGCTCCAAAGCTGGCCCAAAATATTCCCAGGAGGCTCCAGAGAGCCCCCCAGATGCCCGAACAGAGGCGCCCTCTGCCCCAAGATGCCCCCAGGAGGCCCCGAGAGATTCCCTGGAGGCCTTCGCGACACCCCAAAAAGGCTCCAGAAAGACCCGGGAAGCTCCCGAGAAACCCTTATCGAGCTCGCAGGAGGCCTCTGCGCAGACCCTCAGAAGCCCGCCAGAAGCCCTTCGTTCTCCATGCTCCGGAACAGCCCCTCGGCACACGTGGCCCCGGCTGCGCCCCCCGACCCGCCCGCCCAATGGCGGGGCCCGAGGGCGCCCCCACGGCGCCCGTAAGACGCTCCGGAAACGCCTCCCCCGCACGCGTGGATCAGGTGACAATGATGCTGATCGTCGGTGGTCCGTCGTCGTCGTCGTCGTCGTCGTCGTCGTCGTCGTCGTCGTCGTCGTCGTCGGTCGTCGCTGGTGCGCTACAGGCCAAGCCCTTCCTTGAACTTCGCAGCGTCCGCCCGAAAATCACGCATGGGTGAAAGGGAGGAACCCGGAGGACCACGTGGAAAAGGCCCCGTGGAAATTGGCGCCGTCTTCGGAACCGACTTAGAACCTGAGCGCGCGCGAAGCGCGCGCGTGGTTCTAGTCTGATTTTCTGGTGTGCTATGTTTTCGAACGACACTGCCTGAATTTATCCACTTTCGAGCGCGAGGGGTATTTGCCTGTTCTTCCCGGGGCTGAGCACGGCAGTAGAGAGTGCGCGGGCGTCGGGTTTATTGTCGCCCCTTGGATGCGCCGCGCCATCAAAGGGTATCTGCAGCAAGACATTCCGATGGCAAGTTTAAGGGTCCTGGTATCTGGCGGGATTCTTATTCTAGTTGCGGTGTGCGCTTGGACTAGCGAGCACGACTGCGACGTCTGGCGCGACTTCTTCGCGGATCTGTTGAGATTGTCACAGAAGTGCAAATCGCAGAGGCCAGCGCTATTTCTATGAGATTCTAGCGCGAGGTTATTGCAGCGCCGTGCCAGAGAAGAAACTGCCATGGAACTGTATTGTATCCCTGCGAGAATTTCACAGAAAGACTGGTCTCGACATCAAATGGGGAGTCATTGCTGAAACTACGCAGTGCCATGGACGGCATCATCGCGAATTATTTTTCGACGCAGGGCATCTTATCGCGATTGGGGTGCCAATCCAGCAGGGCCGATGCAGCCCGGGCGCCTCGGGCAGCTGGGCCGCGTCATCGTTGCGCGGGACTGGCTCAGCAATGCGGCGTTTATCTGGAGTGGCCGCAGGAGGGTGCTGCAATCGCATTATTGCATACATATTGTTGGTCTTGATATCGACATGCCGAAAACGGAACGCCCGCGCAAAGCATTGCAATTTGAATCTGCGGAGCTTGAAGGCACGGCCATCGCGTGAAAGTGCGCCGAAGCTTTTGATCACCATTGGGGGGTCGCGCCTCTATGTCCAGATCTTGGCCCCAATGCAGAATGCGCGTCTACGTGTGCGTTGGAAGCAGCAACGGAGGTTTTGCCGACACTTCGTGTGCAGAGAAAGCGACCCTGGATCTCGACCAAAACAGCAAATCGGGCGATCGGGCGACTCAACGAGCAAATTCAAGTGTGAGTACGCGCTGACAGAAAACGCTGGTTGGAAGAAACTGTTGCACATGATGGATGGCACGCTGTTCGGGCTCTCCGGAAGGGCCAGCCAATGAAGCGCGGAAGGCTCTGGAACAGCGACGGGGAATTGGTGGACTCAGAGATGAGAAAGAGAGAGAGAGAGAGAGAGAGAGAGAGAGAGAGAGACAGAGAGAGCCCCCCCCTTCGAAAACCGGTGGGGTCACTGCTGGTTCGAACCCCTCCCCCCTCCCCCCCCGCCCCCGCGCTCGCCGCCAGCAAGCGACTCCCGGGTCCCTACCACCGTCCGCTCCACATCCCCCGCTGCTGTCCCCAGCACCACTGTCCTCTCCACCGCTGTCCCCGCTGTTGCCACCACCGTCCCCACTGTCCCCGCTAGTGCCCCCGCCACTGTCGCGCTGTCCCCACTGTCCCTGCCACTGTTCCCACCGTGGTTCCACTCTCCCCACTTTCTCCACGGCCCCAGCCACTGTCCCACTGTCCCCGCTGTCCCACTGTCCCAGTGTCCCCGCCGCTGTCCCACAGCTGTCCCACTGTTCCCGCCGCTGTCCCGACTGTTCCCGCCGCTGCCCCCACTGCGCCTCTGTCTCATTATCCCGCCGCCGTCCTCGCCACCGCTCTCGCCACTGTCCCCGCCACCACTGTGCCCTCCACTGTCCCACACTCTTCACCGCATTCCCACTGTCCCAGCGCCGCTGTCCCCACCACCGCCGTCCCCACCATTGTCCCACTGTTCCCACTGTTCCCACCATTGTCCCCGCTGTCCCCACCAGTGCCCCCGCCTGTGTCTCACTGTCCCCACTCTCCCCACCGTTGCCCCACCGCGGTCCCACTCTCCCCACTTTCCCCGCGCTCCCCACCACTGTCCCCGTTGTGCCCACCACTGTCCCACTGTCCTCGCCGCTGTCCCACTGTGCTGTCCCGCCGTCCCCGCTGTCCCCATCGCCGTCCCGCTGTCCCCACAGTCCCCGCCACTTTCCCAATTGTATTACTGTCCCACCACTGTCCTCGCCACCGCCTTCACCGCTGTCCCCGCCGCTGCCGTCATCGCCAGTGTCCCACTGTCCCCGCCACTGCCCCGCTGTCCCCCCGCCGCTGTCACCGCCGCCACCGCCCCCGCCACTGTCCGCGCCGCTGTCCCACTGTCCCCGCGCCGCTGTCCCCGCCACCACCGTTCCCGCCGTTGGCCCAGCATCCCCACCATTGCCCAATTGTCCCGAGGAGCGGGAATCGTTTGCCGGCGGCGAGGGGGGGGGGGAGGTCGAACCGGTAGTGGCCCCCCCCCCCGTTTTCGCGCGGAAGAACAGGCTCGGCAGGAACCCGACCAGACTGTCAAACAGAATTGTCTAACAAACTTGGCTCGACAGAGCCGGAATTCGTGGCAATTTCGTTGCCGTGTTGTGCGGTGCGTGAGGTGTAGCATAGCACGGCATTGTGCAGTTCCGCAGATTGCAGACTGGCGTTTTTTTGGTACCAGCCCATGCGTTTTTTTCGGCCACGTCCGCAGGACACCCTGCGGGCGGATACAGATTCAAGGCGTGAAACGCGGATAGGCCGGTACAGCCAGTCAAACAATATGTTCCCGGAGAGCTCTCGGGGAACGTAATATTTTGATCGCTTAGGGCATTGCGTTCGGTGTCATCGTGCAGGCGCGGAGGCGTGTAGCAATGACACCTCCGCGTAGGCTCGATCCGACGATGGGCTGGCATCCCCCAGAACGGAGTGTCCTCATAAGAGCTGGCAATTCCTTCGCCTCTAGTGTGACTATTTGCTCCCTGTGTGCTGCATCGAGCGCGAATGTGGCGACACCGGGTGTAGCAATGCCCTGGTCCGCGGACAGCTTGTGTCCAGAACTGTTTGGCTCAAGGCCCACTCGGTGCGATGGGCAAGAAAAAGGGAAGCGATTCCCACAAACCTGCCACACAGCAGCTCCGACAATTCAAACGTATCATTGTATCAACAAGTACGTTACTTTGTGAGCGTCTCGGGATAGAGCCCAAGGATGTCCTCAAGAAGCCCCTCCCCATCAGCAGGGAGGACACGATACGTCTGCTGTCCGACATCGCCGACGGAAGATTGGTGATCCCAGAGATCCCACAGCAGATCCAACAGTGATGGAGTCCATCGGGGACACGTACGCGGGGCCACTCGAGAGCAGAGCCCTGCAAAGGGTTATGAGCCCAAACGTTCCCACGATCCACGGCACGCAGTTGGGGGCGCAAGTGCGCCAGTGTGCCGCCTGCTTCGACTACGTCGTGGGGCCCGCCGTGCAGTGCGACAACTGCGGCGGCATTGTGCACGCCCACTGCATGCAGGTGTTCGGCCGGAGCCTGGTTTGCGTGACCTGCATCGCGGAGCGGGACGCCTTCGTGGCCGCGAGGCGCTCAACCATGATCCAGCACCGCGCGCAGCAGTTCGGCCGCGCGTTGGCTTCTGGTGGGCAGCTGGCCGGCCAGGTCGTCGGTGCGACCGCCTTCGGGCTTGGGGCCGGAGTCGCTCGACTTGCCAGCGGAGTGCTGGCCGGCGCGAGGCAGACCATGGGCGGAGTGGCCGAGATCCCTGGGCCTGCCCGCCCTCGCGTGCTGCCTGCACTGCAGCCCGCGGATGGCGCAGCCCCTCTTGGAGGGCAGCAGCTCAGCATCGACATGGCCGACAGGATGGCGGCCATGGAGGCGGGGCTGGTCAGGCTCCGAGCGGAGAGCGCGCAGTACCGCGAGGAGTTTGGACTTCACCAGTCCGGAGGCGGCGGCTGCGCGACTCCAGGCGCCAGCAGCGCCGCGGGTCAGCCAGCCCCATCGACTCCGCATTCGACGAGTGCGGCTGCCGCCGCTGAGGTCGACCAGGATGGCGTCGATGGTGCATCAGCCCTCCTCGCCGCGGCCCTCAGCGATCCAGGGGGTGCCCAAGCGCCAGCCGACGGCATCGAGGTTGCTGCGGCGGTCGCGGTAGCGGCCGAGGCGCAGCAGCGTGCAGGAGGAGCAGCAGGAGGAGGTGCAGGAAGAGCGAGCGGGGAGCAGGCGGGAGAGATGAGCGTCGCCGACCCTCACCGAGCCACGGCGCCACCCGCGCCGAGCGCCGCCGCTGGCGGCGCAGGCCTCGCAGCTGAGTGCGCCCTCCCGCCTGGACTTGGCGCTGCGCCCTGGCCGTGGTCATCGGCGAGTGCGCCAGGAGGAGGAGTGCCAGGAGGCGGAGGAGGAGGCCAGCAGCCCCAGCAGCCCCAGCAGCTTTGGGCCGCCTCTGGAGCTGTAGCAGCGGCGGCCGCGCCACCGCAGTTCGGCGGAGTCGGGCTGCGCGGTGCCAGTGGGCTGCGCCGCCGCCGCCACTGCCGCCGCCGCCGTTCGGCGCCGCGACGGCTGCTGGTGACTTCGCTGGCGGTGCGAGCTCCGCCGATGCAGCAGGTCTTGCTGCTATCTTGAGCCGTTTGAAGGCCGACGAGGTGCCCGAGCTTTCTCGGACAGGAGGCAGCAAGGCCTCGAAGTATGAGGGGTGGTTGCAGACCAGCACCCTCTACTACGCGTCGGTGCGCCCGCGGGTCGAGGCCTGGTGGTGCAACCTGCGCGCTGCGGTGGACGCATCGCACGACGAGTACCTGCACGTGGGCCCGCTGCAGCGGCCGTGCATTTGCCCCCAGACGTCGTGGGCAGAGGTCGGGGCACAGAGGCAGGTGGAGTACAAGTATCGGCCCTACCTGCTCCAGGCCATGCCCGAGTCCGTCAAGGCCCAGGCGCTCGCCGCCAGGCAGCTGAGCTGCAGTGAGCTCGTTTTCGCCGTTTGCGTCGAGGCGGGCCCTGGCGCCCTCCGGGATAGAGCTGCCACGTTGAAGGCAGTGGAGCGCCGTGGCAATCCGGCTGCCCCAGCCCGGGGGGAGGCCGTGGCCCCAGACCCCACCATCCAATTCACCACGTTGCGCACGCTGGTGAGCAAGATGGCGGAGGCCGACGAGGACTTTAAGTTCCGGATGAGTAATTGGCAGTTCGTTCAAGGCCTCAGTGGCGCTGCGAGCTGCAGCCAAAGCCAGATCGACGAGTTCTGGCGCCCCCTGGCCGGCGAGGCCCGCGAGGTCCCCACCGACGGGGCGAGGCAGCAGCAGCGGCGGCAGCAACAGCAGCAGCAGCCGCAGCATATTCAGCAGCTTGGCAAGAAGGTGCAGGCGAAGGTCGCGTCGCTGGAGGCGCAAATTGCCTTCCCCAAAGGGGCGGGCAAGGGCGGCGGTCAGCCATTGAAGCCAGGCCCGAAAGGCAAGGCTGGCGGGCCGACCAAAGGCAAGAACAAGGGCAAGGACGCGGAGCAGTCGAAGTTCTGCCAGTTCTTCGAGTCCGATGCTGGCTGCAAGCAGGGCGGCGCATGCGCGTGGCCTCACCGCGAGCTGCAAGCTAGCGAGGGGAAATGCTTCAACTGCGGAAGCAAGGGGCGCTCCAAGGGCGCCTGCTCGCGCCCGAAGCGCGAGGCGGCGGCCAAGGCAGCAGAGGTTGCCATGGGGCCTGGAGGTGGTTCTGCTTCGGCTTAGGATCCAGGCGGCGCAGGTGCGCAGACGCAGCCTGCGGCGCAGGCGGGTCAGCTCGGGGCCGTGGTGGCTGCGACGATCAAGGCTCTGGCGGGCGAGGGATCGCCTGGTGCTGCGCTTGCTGTCGCGCCCGTGGACGCGGACCCCGGATGGCTGGACAGATGGGCGACGTCGACGGCTCGGTGGCCCGCGTGCGGCGGTAGCCGTGGCGCGCCTAGTGGAAGTTGGCGGCGAGCGGATGCTGCTCGCCGACACGGTCGCCGCGCGCGAGCTGCGCTCGATCCCTGTGGAAGGTGACCCTGGGGTCGAGACGCGGCGCGTCGATCTGCAGGCGGCGACGGGCAGCGTGGAGGCCAGGATGGGCGAGGACGACGTGGTGTACGTTGAGTCCGATGCCCCTCTTCAGCCGCTGTTCTCGCTGGGGATCTACATCGAGGAGTGCGGACTCGGGCTCGAGTGGGCGCCCGAGGCTTGCGGGCTGCGGCTGCCAGACCACCGATGTTTGGAGCTGCGTCGCGCGGGGGGCAGCATCTTCATCGAGGGGGGCGATGCTGAGGTGCTGCAGCGGCTTCGCGCTGCTGTGCGTTTGGCGCGCGGTCGTGCCGTGGTGGCCCAGGCGATCAGGGCCGCAGCTTCGCTGGCGGAGCTGGCAAAGCATCGATCATACGGGCGTCCCGCATTGAGTGCCGTGAGTGCAGGCTCGCCGCAGGGCGCGTGCGCTCGCGCTACCGCCTGGGCCCTTCTACCCGGCCAGGTGGGCAGCTTTCGGTTGATCTGAGCGGCCCCCGTCCGCCCGGGCGATGGCCGAGTTCGTTGCAGGAGGACGCGCCGAGGAGGGCGCAGTATTTTTTGCTTTGCGCGTGCCAGGTGCTGACGCAGGCCGAGGTCGCGCAGCAGGGCTGCAACGTCGCGGATGCGAGGGTAGCTGCGGCGGCCGGCGACGCCGCGTCGCTCGCCGAGGTCTGCGCCAGCGTCGCCGACCCCAGCGGCAGCGCTGCTGATGGCGACGCCCGCGCGGGGGCGGACGTCTCGGAGGCGAAGGTGTGGTACTTCACCGTGCCGCTGGAGCGCAAGACGGCGGAGGAGTGCATCAGGGGGCTGGACGCTGTGGTGGCGGCGATCGGACTCGAGTTCCAGGGCCAGGCAGTCTTTCGCATCCACTCGGACCGTGCCTCGGAGCTCTCGGGGCCACGCGTGCGGGCCCACTTCGCCACGCAGCAGATCGTGGTCGCCAGTGCGCCAGGCTTCGAGCCCAACAGTAACCCGCGCGCGGAGCGCGGCATCGGCGTCATCAAGGGCCGTGCGAGGGCGATGCTGATGTCCTTGTCCGCTGCCGATCAGCAGTGGCTATGACCAGCTGCCGTGCAGCGCGCGAGCTGGTGCCAGCGGCGCGGGGCCATGGGGCGGGCGATCGCCTGCCCGGCGTTTGGGGATCGCGTCGCAGCCAGAGTCAAGGGCCCTCCCAAGAGCGGCTTCGCGGCGCGAGGCAAGGAGATGATCTTTCTGGGCGCGGAGGATGCTTATTCCCGTGGCTATCTGCTGGGCCGGGGGGGGCGGGGCGGGGCGCCAAGAAGGGCAAGGAGTGGGGCTTCGAGGTTTCGAGCTCTTTTGTGGTCGACGTCTCGGCCGCGCCCCCGGGCCCCTCGCTGGGCGATGCCGGGGGCAGCGCCGACCGTGGAGCCGCCGCGGCGCCAGGAGACCAGGGGGGGAATCAGCAGGCTGAGGAAGAGCATCAGCAGGCTGAGGAGGACCTATCGGCCGCGCGGCCGAGGGAGCATCCAGCAGAGGAGGATCGCGCCCAGGGGGGGGGGGAGCATGGCGACGCAGCAGCGCCAGGAGGAGGCAGCGGCGACGACATCTTCGAGGCGCAGTCCGAGGAGCGGGTCTTCTCGCGCCCAGCATGCCGAGGCCGCCATCGACCCTGCACTCGGAACGAAGGATGCCGCCCTGGAGCGCAGGCGGCGGCAGCGACGCTGGCGACAAGAAGGAGCAAGGAGAAGGCGATTGCGGAGCAGGGGGGCGATGACTACGACGACGAAGCCCCTTCAGAGTTCCACGACATCGTGAAGGGCTATGGCGTGCAGGTCGCGTCGGGGAAGGACTTGGCCAATGCGTTCGGCGCGGAGCGCGAGGAGTGGAAGAACGCCATGGCCGCAGAGTTAGCCTCGATGGAGGAGAAGGGCGTGTTCCACGAGCTCTCGGTTGCGGAGTCCCGAGCCGTGCCAGCGAGCAGAATCCTTCCCATGAAGTTGGTGCCTGGGATCAAGCCTGCCGACGAGGCGGGGTGCCGCCGCGGGAGGGTGCGCGGCGTGGCATGCGGGAACTTCCAGAAGAAGGACCCGACGGAGGAGCTCTACACTGCCAACGTGGACATCAGCTCCGTCCGCACCGCGATCGCTGTTGCGGCCCACCAGGGGTGGGCAATCGGAGCGATGGACGTCTCGACGGCGTTTCTCAATGCCGACCTGCCCGCGAGCAGCGCCGAGGTGATCTTGCGGCCGCCGGCGCTGTTCGTCAAGTATGGGCTGGTGAAGCCGGGAGTGTTGTGGCGCGCAGAAAAAAGCAATTTATGGCCTCAGGATTGCACCGCGGGCGTGGGCTCTCAGGCGCGACAAGGACTTGCGCGCCCTTGTGTGTGACTACGGTGGCGAGCCAGTCCGCCTGAAGCAGAGCACCGTCGACCCTGCCGTCTGGGCGATCGTGCCGGTGGCGGAGCCCCGCGTGGGAAGCGAACGCCGCGCGTTGGGCTACCTCCTGAATTACGTCGACGATTTCCTGCTGGCGGGGCCGTCGGCGCTGATCGCTGCTTTGGAGGGCAGGCTCCAAGCCGTGTGGAAGGGCGCCGCCCAGCCGATCATCGGCCCGCTGACGCCTGGGGAGTTGCGGTACTTGTCCCTGGTGATAGAGGCGCGCGCGGACTGCTACACGGTGCGCCAGAAGGAGTACGTCGAGGACCCTCCGGCGAAGTGGGGCCTCGACAAGGGGAGCTCGGTGGGGGCGATCTCCATCGACCCGCTCCCGGGGGGCCAGGGCGAGACGGCGGGCCATGAGATTGCTGACGCGCGGCTGGCGCAACGCATGGCAGGAGGGCTGCTATGGCTGAGCGGGCGCACCAGGCCAGACGTTGCGTTCGCAGTGAGTCGCCTTGCGTCACAGGCCGCCGCAAACCCTCCGTGGGCGTTGAGGCTGGGTAAACGTATCCTCCGTTACCTCGCTGGCACTCGTTCCCATGGCTTGGTGTTCGAGCCGCAGGGCGAGGCCATGAAGCTCGAGGTCTACGCGGGTGCGAGCTTCGAGCCCGAGGTTAGCCAGACAGGCGTTAGCACGTTTCTCGGGGGCTGTCTTGTGGACTGGAGGTCTTGCAAGCAACCCCAGCCAGCGCGAAGCGCAGCAGAGGCCGAAATCACCGCGCTGAGCATGGGTTGCGTCATGCTCGAGGGCGCCGAGGCTGTCCTCGGGAGCATGGGAATCAGGCCATCTTCGGTGCATATGTGGGGTGACAGCTCCGCTTCCCTCCGCGTTGCCACTGGGCAGGGCTCCTGGCGCACGCGCGCTCTAGCCGGCCGCGCCAGCGCCCTTCGAGCTCGCGCCCAGCAGGGGGCCCCAGCAGGGGACTTTGGCTTTGGGCTTCGTGGGCGCGCAAGATCAACGAGCTGATGGTCTCACTAAGACATTCAGCGTCCCAGGAATGCAGTTAGTGCGGAAAGCATTAGGGCCGCGTTCATTTTGGACTCCCATTCTTCACTCTATGACATTTTTCAATTGAACTGTTTGGGGCCCCTGCCTCGCCCGTTCCTCCAATGCCGGAGGCTTAACTCCCCTGCGGCGGTCAATTTGACACCGCCGCCGCGGGAGAGGAGGAGCGTGGAAGAACAGGCTCGGCAGGAAACCGACCAGACTGTCAAACATAATTGTTTAACAGACTTGGCTCGACAGAGCCGGAATTCGTGGCAATTTCGTTGCCGTGTTGTGCGGTGCGTGAGGTATAGCATAGCACGGCATTGTGCAGTTTCAAAGATCGCAGACTCTGGCTTTCTCTTGGTACCAGCCCATGCGTTTGTTTTCGGCCACGGTCGCAGGACACCCTGCGGGCGGATGCAGATTCAAGGCGTGAAACGCGGATAGGCTGGCACGGTCAGTCAAACAATATGTTCCCGGAGAGCTCTCCGGGAACGTCATATTTTAGTCGCTTAGGGCATTGCGTTCGATGTCATCGTGCAGGCGCGGAGGCGTGTAGCAATGCCGCCTCCGCGCAGGCTCGATCCGAGGATGGGCTGGCATCCCCCGGAACGGAGTGTCTTCATAAGAGCTGGCAATTCCTTCGCCTCATGTGTGACTATTTGCTCCCTGTGTGCTGCATCGAGCGCGAATGTGGCGACATTTGCATGCGGTGTGTTGCGTCGACCCTTAGGGCCAGGAGGTGTGTAGCAATGCCACCTTGGCAGGGCCGGGTGTAGCAGTGCCCTGGTCCGCGGACAGCTTGTGTCCGGAATTGTTTGGCTCGAGGCCCACTCGGTGCGACGGGCGAGAAAAAGGGGGGCGATTCCCGCAAGCCTGCCGCGCAGCAGCTCCGACAATTCAAACGTTTCATTGCATCAACAAATACGTTACTTTGCGAGCGTCTCGGGATAGAGCCCAAGGAGGTCCTCAAGGAGCCCCTCCCCATCAGCAGGGAGGGCGCGATGCGTCTGCTGTCCGACATCGCAGACGGAAGATTGGTGATCCCAGAGACCCCACAGCAGATCCAACAGCGATGGGGCCCATCGGGCGCGCGCGCGGGGCCGCTCGAGAGCAGAGCCCTGCGAAGTTTCGAGGTGGGGGGTTCGAACCGGTAGTGGCCCCTTCCGGCCTTGGAAGGGGGGGGGGGGGCTCGAACCCGTAGTGACTTTTTTTTTTTTCATGATGGATTGGGGGGGGATCGAACCGGCAGTGGCCCCCCCGCGGTTTTCGAGGGGGGGCGGGGCGGGTTGGGGCCCACCAGTGACCCCTCCCCGGTTTTCCGCCAGCTGTGGTAGAACGCGTTCTTTCAGAGATGAGGCCAGAAACAATAGCAAACTATTTGGAGAGGGAACAATGGAAATGGTGCCATGAACTGGAACGACTTCCCGATCTACGCATCGGCGTCGACAGTATCACATTGGCGGAAGTACAGCGGGCAGACAAGTCCCTGGAAGTACAAGAAGCGGCCAGTGGTGACGGAGTATCGCCAGACGCGTGGCGCGCGCCGTGGAGAGACAGCGCAGCTTTGGAAATCTAGCAAACTCTATGTAACGATTGCTGCTCGCAAAAGGACACGCCCAATACTTGGCGAGAAGCTTTAGTGGTATCCATTTTCAAGACGGGCGACGCCTCCGAGCCAGGCAACTACAGGCATTTTTTTCTGTTGGCGGTGGGCTGCGAACTATTGGCCATCATCATATAGCATGGGTTCGAAAATGGATGGGGCAGATCTCAGTGCGGGTTCCGGGCCGCGCGGGGCACCGCTGGCGCGATGCTCTTGGCGCGGGGATTAATCGACACCGCCCTGGGGGGCAAAAATGGGCATTGCTAATTCTCTCGCCGGATTGGAGCGAGGCGTTTGATCGCATGGGGCCCAACGCATTATGGTTCGCTTTTCGGCGTTTAAAGGGGCTGCCCGAGATGCTGGTCATGATTGCTGCCATCTACAAGGTGCGCATATTTATCGCCGGAGACGGAGCGATTGGTTCGTCGCAGAAGATTCAACGAGCTGGCGTTGCGCAGGGGCGCCTGCTATTGCCCCATTCGTCTGTCATCATAATGTCTGTGCTTTTCGAGGGTGTCGATGCAAGAGGTCCCCGCGCAGATTGTCAGCGCAAAGGACAAGCCTTGCGTGATCACCAAGGACGTGCTGCGCGGTGCTGACACGCCGCTGGCCTCGCAGTGCCGGGGGTTCTTTCAAAGGCACCCCCACATTTTTTGCGCATTTTGGGGAATCGTTTGGATTGGGCCTCAACGCAGACAAGACAGTTTAACTGGGAACCAGATCGGATGACGCAGTCGTGGGGCCCAACGAAGAAGCAATTCAAACGAGAGATAGCGTCGTGTATCTCGGTGGGCTTTGGGGCGCACGCGGCAAGCCAACGGCTGGAGTAATGCGGCGTCTCGGAGTGGCGAAAGGGGCATTTGAGATGCTTTGCGCTACGTGTAACCGCGCGAACATGACCAGGCATCGCAAGCTGCGAGATCTGCAGGCATGTGTCCTCTTGAACTTCTTGCATGGATTGGAGTCTTGCGTGCTGCTGAAGGTCAACCAAGACAGACTGTGCGGGTTTCGAGCCGTAGGTCTTCGCAGCGCATGGGCAATCCAACCGGCTCTCCTGTCCTGGATCAGTTGTGCGCGCGCGCGGTCTGACGCGCGCGTCTGTCCATTATCATCTCTTCTATCGGATCGACAACTGGCGTACCATGGGAAACTTGTCAGAGCCTCCCCGCAATCGCTTTCGGGAGCGATGGTTTTCCAACCGGGCCAGAATTCCGCGATGCCGCCAGACTGGCGCCCCCCGGGGAATCAAGGGAGGCCTCGTTGACAACGGGCTGCCTATATGCGCGCCCGCGCGTTGGGTATTGCGCGAGACTAGCTGGGCCGCCTGCGAGTCTCGTTGCAATCCCGTCAAAGTAGTTGAAGAGCAGCTGTCAGTGAATATTGTAATTCTTTACGCTTCGCGTATCCCCACCAGCCCATCTCGCAGCAGCAACTCTTGCGAAGCATGCCGGCAGTCGTGTTTTTCAGGCGTGTGTCCGCTTGGCCCCGCATATCTCCCCTGTTCCTCCTTCCTCCCGCCTCCATGTGCATCCTCCATGGGGGGGGGGGGGGGGGGGGGAGAAGGGCGAGGCAGAGGAGGAGGGAGAGAGAGCGCTCCTCGTGGTTTGAGTCGTTTGGGGGTTCTCGTCCTGGTGTGAGTCGTTCGGGCCCTTCTTCCTGGTGTGAGTCGTTCGGGCTCTTCGTGGTGTGAGTCGTTCGGGCTCTTCGTCCTGGTGTGAGTCGTTCGGGCTTCTCGTGGTGTGAGTTGTTCGGGCCCCTCATCCTGGTGTGAGTCGTTCGGGCCCCTCCTCCTGGTGTGACTCGTTCGGGCTCCTCGTGGTGTGAGTCGTTCGGGGCCCGCGTCGTGGTGTGAGTCGTTCGGGCTCCTCGTGGTGTGAGTCGTTCGGGCGCCTCGTCCTGGTGTGAGTCGTTCCCCCCTCCTGGTGGTGTGAGTCGTTCGGGCTCTTCGTGGTGTGAGTCGTTCGGGCCCCTCGTCCTGGTGTGAGTCGTTCGGGCTCCTCGTGGGGCCTCTTGGGGGCCTCTTGGAGCCTCTTGGGGGCCTCTTGGGGGCCTCTTGGGGGCCTCTGGGGAGCCTCTTGGGGGCCTCTTGGGCCCTCTTGAGGCTTCTTGGGGGCCTCTAGAGGGCCTCTTGGGGGCCTCTTGGGACCGCTTGGAGGCCTCTGGGGGGCCTCTTGGAGGCCTCTTGGGAGCCTCTTCGGGGCCTCTTGGGGCCATCTTGGGGCCTCTTGCGACCTCCTCAGAAGCGCAAATGAGAGCTGCCCCCTGAAAAGGACAAATTGAGGCCAAAACCTTCGTAACATCAATGATTTTGCTATGAAGGTAGATGAGCGCGGCCCCCGCAGGAGGCCAAAATGGGGCCAAAACCGTAGTAAAATCAATGATTCTGGCTTCGAAGAAGAGCAGAGGGGCCTAACTCACCCCCCCCGTCGGGCCCAGAATCCTCGTGAGGGTCGTCGTTTTTTAGCCCTCCCAGGAGTCGGAAAAGACCCCTCCAACGACCCGCGGAACCCCCTTTCCAGGCCCAGGGGGAGGGGGTAGGGGGAGGGGTAAACCCCTCCCCGAAGGGGATGAAGGGGGGTTGAGGACAGAGCGGGCTCTCTAAACCACTCACGCCCAAAGGGCTGGTGGGATTCTTCAGTGTGATCTTGTCGCGCCCCCCCCCGTCTCCCCGCCCTTCGCCCCCCCTCCTGCTGGCCCCCTCCTGCGCGCGAGCGCTGCTGATCACTCTCGCGCTGGATTGGCGCAAAGGTTGCCAGCGTTCGGGCTCCGGGGCGCAGCGGCCGCTCCCAGACACGTGCATGTAGTTTTTCTTTTGCCGATGCGCCGTCCATGCGCGGCTTTTGAGTGAGGGGCTGGATGTGGTGAAATTTTTGTTTGCGACCGTTTTTCTCATGCTGGAAAGCTTGGGGTGGCCAGCTCCATTCATCGCGCAGCCATCCCGCCCGCTGACCTGCGAGTTGGTTCGACAAACCCATGCGGCGGCAATTACGGTCAGTGCTTGGCGTTGGCCGGTGCGTCTGAGGCCGCGCCGACCCGCGCGTGCTCGCGCGCGCGGCGGCCGGCTAGTTTGGCGCGACCGAGGCGGCTGCGGTGGCGCTGGCCGCCAGGTACCTCTTTGCGACCTCAGTGCGGGTCGGTGACTCGGGCGGGCGCGGTATCGTGGCGACGTCGGCAGCGGTAGACGCCATTTGCTAGTGGAGATGATGGCGACGATGGCGACGGTGGCGGCGGCGAGGCCGATGGCGGGGCCGATGCTCATCGCGCCGATGACGATGGCGATGCCATCGCGTCGGCGAAATAAGGGTTGGGGAAGGAGTTCAACGCGCTCGCGCGGCTGACGCGCGCGAGCGGCCCGGGTGGTATTGTTTGACCGGGGCCGTGCCCCCCCCATCATGCGCGCCGGGGCGCTCGAAAGAGTTCGACATGCGGCGCGAGTGACCTGCTTGGTCGACTACTGTGGACATGTGGGGCAACCGATGGTTTTCTCAAGAATTCGCAAGAGCGCGCGCAGCCTTCTTGGACAATTCATTTTGTATGTCAAGGTGTTTTCTCATGTTTTCAGAGCGCTCGACGTCGACGACCATTTTTTCAGGGCGTTCTCGCAATAGCGCGCGCGCAAGGGCGCTCGGGAGATTTTGACGCACGCGCACGAGACGCTGGGTGGCATTTGATGAACATGTTTAAGGACCTATGGCTTTCTTATGGCTTCGCAAGGGCGCGCGCGGGCTTCTCTGAAACGAGATGTTGCGAAACATATGTTTTAAGCATCGTTTTTCGGCGCGTTCGATTATGGTATCTTTGCGGCGCCGAAGGTTTTCGAGGGACTTCGGCACGCGCGCGCGACGACGCGCGCGCGTGCACTTCGTTTTGCGTTCCGTGGGACTTTATCATTGGCAAGCGAGCGCTTGCGCAATGGCCCAACCGACGTAGCGCAATCTTCGCGGAACAGTCGATGTGGTGCACTTCGCCCCGCCGAACTTGAAGTTGCACTCCTCTGCTTGCGCCGTCGTCCCGATCGCCCGCCCGAAACTTGGTTGCCAGCCCGTGCGATGGTGATTGCGTTGACTGCGTGGCGTTAGCTGGCGTCGCTGCGGCCGCGCTAGCGCGCGCAGGCTCGCGCGCATAGCGCCCTGCTAGTCTGGCGCGACCGACGCGACCGTGGTGGCGCTCACCGCTGATCTTCCCAGCGCGGCGCTGGCGCGCGGGTGCTTCAGTGCGAGTTGGTGATTCGGGCGGGCGCGGTATCGTGGCGTCGTCGGCGACGGCAGACGCGATGATGATTGTAGCGATGCTGGTGGCGATGATGACGGCGACGACGGCGAGGCCTATGACGGCGTCGATGCTGATCGCGCCGGTGGCGATGATGGTGTCCACGTGTTAATGAAAAAGATTGAGAGGAGTCTGACATGCGCGCGTTGCCGACGGGCGCGAGTGCCGCGAATTGAATTTTTGAGACTTCCCCCCGGCACGCGCGCCAGGGCGTTCGAAAGATTTCGACATGCGCGCGCGAAAGGCACGATTCGTCGAATTTGATGAACGTGTTGAGAACAAACAAACAGTTTTTCTAAGCAAATTTGCAAACACGACCTTCGTTGTTTGGAAATCTATGTTGCGATACCGCTCTTGGTGCGCTTACGGAATAATTCAATTTGAAAGCTTTTTCCTACATACACACACATATATACACATATGTATGTATGTATGTATGTATGTATATATATATATATATATATATATATGTACATATTCACAAATCTAAATAACATACAGATTTCGGCATGCGCGCGTGACGCCGCGTGCGTGTTACAGTTTTTTCCTTATTTTCCTTGTGTTGCCAGGGCATCTTGGGAGTGTATGGTTCTTGATGTACGAGTGCGCGCGTATTTTTTGTGTATCAGATAATATAAGAGGGGCCAGTACTGGTTGGACTGGGATGATATGGCCTCATATTCAGATACAGCGATGGGGCAAAGTCGTATGTTGATTGCACATGGCGAAGCCGGCACGATCACCAGGGGGAAGGTGGTCCGAATTGTTTAAAGAAAGGATTGTCTATTTTGTACAACTTATGTGGTGCAATATTCGTTGTACAATTTAGGCGGCGACGGGCGGCGACGACGCGGCGACGGCGACCATGGAACCGCCACAGCGACACCCATACCCAGACGTCCAGACGACGGGCGGCGACGGGGTGGCGAAGGGGCGGCGACGAGGCGCCGACGGCGACCACGGAACCGCCAGGGCGACAATCAGGCCCATGCGACGGGCGGTGATGAGGCGGCGACGGGGCGGCGACAGCGAGCACGGAACCACCAGACCGACAATGAGGCCCAGACGACGGCGGGCGACGAGGCGGCGACGGGGTGGCGACGGCGAACACGGAGCCGCGAAACCGATATTTAAGGCAATTTCCGCAGAAGAGAAGTAACAACCCTTCGGTGCAAACGTGTTTGGGGAGAAAGTAAGGCCTCCTATGTCCAAGCGCTGTAGGGGACAATTTTGAAACACGAGCATCATTTACACGCGGGCGGACGGCTTCTTTTGAACACAGGCTCTCGGTGGACACGTCTTCCTCCTCCCCCTCCTCCTCCTCCTCCTCCCCTCCTCCTTCTCCTGTTCCTCCTCCCCTTCCTCCTCCTTCTCCTCCTCCTCCTCCTCCTCCTCCTTTTCCTCCTCCTCCTTCCCTCCTCCCACCTCCTCCCCTGATCTACGCATATGTTGCACCCCTCAAGGCTTCAAGCGTGGAGGGCGGCTCCTTTTCATACGGCGGGGCCATCGCCAAGAGCAGCAGGCCCACAGGGGCCTTCGTCTCTCGGCAGGGGAGCGCCCCGTGCAGAGAAAAGGCGCGCTCGAAGAAGGGATCTATGATGAGGGGGTCTGGAACGTAGGGGGCGTGCTGCAGCGTCGTTGATGCCTCTTTCTCCTCCTCCTCCTCCTCCTCCTCCTCTTTGATGTATCCGGGTCTACTGTGCTCCTCCTCCTCCTCCTCGTCCTCCTCCTCCTCCTCCTCCTCCTCCTCCTCCTCCTCCTCCTCCTCCTCCTCCTCCCCCCGCGGTCCCCGGAGGCCTCCAGGAGGCCTCTGGAGGCCCGAGAGGCAGCAAATGCATGAGGAGGGAGCAAATGCATGAGGACCTCGATCCTCGATCCTCTTCCTCGATCCTCGGTCCTCCTGGACCCTCGATACTTCTGAATCCTCGATCCTCCTCCAGTCTCGACCCTATATCCTCCATCTTCGATTTTCCTCCTCGACCCTCGATCCTCGATCTCTCATCATCCTCGATTCTCCTCGAGCCTCGAGCCTCGATCCTCCAACCTCGATCCTCCTCCTCCTCCTCCTCCTCCTCCTCCGCTGGACCTCCTTCTTCGATCCTCCCTCCCCCCTCCTCCGCGGCCGTGCGGCGCGAGCCAGTGCCCGCTTTCTCGCGGCGCCCCTTCGGCTGGAAAGAGAACTGGGCGGCCCCGCCGGAGAGGCCAGTTCCTGAAGCGCCACAGGTGCCCCAAGGACGACGGCATGGGCTTCGTGGGCTCGTGACTCGGCCTCGCTTGGCTGCGGGGGCGAGTCGAGCCGAGAGGAGCGGAGACGAAACACAGTCATACCAAGACCAAGAGCGACCACAGTAACTTGAAGAGTGCTGACAATCATGAGAAGAGTATATTCAGGGTTTCTTCATGAGCGTGGGGGTTCCCCCCCCGACGGGGGTTAACCTCGCCGCGTCGTCGCGCTGCGACGGGGGTCGTAGCGCCTTCGGCGCGCGGTGGCTGTCGGCGACGGGGGTCGATGTGGGAGTGTCGGCGGGGGTGACGCCCCCCCGACGCTTATCAAGAAACTCGGGGCACATGTACAGGCAGGAACAGGACACACGAGACATCATGCGAGAAGTGCACGGCATGCGCATAAACTTTCGAGCTGCGCGCGGATTTCGCGGATCGGCACGGGATGCTCCCCGGAGGCGCCTCGGGTGCTGCCCCATGCGCGCTCTGCTCGCCAGCGGGGGGGGGGATCCAGCGCCGATCCAATAAATCCGCGAGGACCTCCGACGGGTTATATCTAAACGGCTTTGGTTTGCTTCTTCTTTCTTCAAGCCGCGAGATGCGACCACCAGCCGTTTCTTCCAGTGCTCGAGCTCTCGCGGCGCTGGGCCGGTCGCACCAGGCCGCTCGCTTGGAGGCAGATCAGATATATAATGCATTCGCGCGGTGGAGCTCTTGTGGGTCGCGAGGAGCATGGGGATACAGGGCCATGAGCGCGAACGAGCCATTGCCGGCTTGGCAGGGAAGGTGGCAGGAAAGGTGGGCCTCGATGGAAGAGTGCACGCGAGGCGGTTTCATGAGCACGAGTCAGCGGGTGCAGATCCGAACAGAGTAGCGAGCATTGGCAGATTCCCGTACGCTTTGTGTTGCTGGAGCGCCTCGTTGTTCACAATTGTATTGGGGAGCGGTACTGGCCCATGCTGAGGTCCAGACGACATTCGCTGCGGCCAGACTATCACCATATACAGCAGGACGTCTTCGGCCTAGTGTGACCCAGTCCTCTGTGAATGTTAGTCGTGGGACGTGACGACATGGTCATTTCGTCCTCCCAGCTGTGACAGTAGATGATGTTGTGTAGGGTAAGAATTGGTCCTCTGAGGCCTCGCCGGGCGAGGGCGAGTGTGGAATGCGATAATATCTCATTCGTTCTGCATTCCGATCACGGGCGCTCGCCTTGATATAGACAAAACATGAGAAGGTATCTTCGACGGGATTGGCGTCAGAAAATGCAGCCGAGTAGTCAAAGATCTGGAACCAGCACGATGACGAGGAAGAGCTCTCGGGAGAGGATACATTTGGGGGATCAGAGCAGCAGGTTGTGGCTTGCACGGGACCGATCGCGATGTCGGCGTGGAGTGGAGTGCTCTTCGACGAGCGGCAGTGCTGGCGAAGCAACCGAGGTACTACGTGAATGGTTGCGACCGCTTCACCCGCTGGTTTTTCGAGGAGCGGCGCGCTTTGACCGGTGACCCTTCTCCATCCGTCGGCCTCAGCTTCCCATCAGCTGGTCTTGCTTTGTGCCAGGTTGCTCTGCCACGAGGGCGCCTGCCGTGTCTTGTGCGCGCGCCTGCGTGCCGTCTCAGACAATCGGTGAAGGTGGGGGGAGGGGCCGTAGGAGTAGGAAGAGGAGGATGCGGATCCATCTTTGCCGCCTCTCCAGACTTTCGCGCTTCGGGCGGGACTCGGTAGACCAGGCTTGAACACCGGCTTTCAGGAAGGGGCGGTTGTCCTATTGCTGACTCTGTGCTCCAACGCGTCTTCTCGGTCCGTTTCCCGTTTGTTTGTGTGTGTGTCTCTTTGTTTTCGTCTTTCCAAGAATCAAGGTCACGCCAGTCGGAGCGGAGAAGCACTCGGTTGCGCACCGCAGGTGCGCGCCATCGCCCACTGCGGCCTGGGCTGGGCCCCCTCTGCGTCCGCGATCGCTGTGCGGAGATAGGAAGGACCCCTGCGAGTACTCTTCGCCCCTGTCCCGGTTCTCCCAAGCAGCGTCTCGCCAAGGGCTCCCGATGGAGGCCCGACGGCCGCACAAAGCATTCGTGTACCATTACCCTGCCCGGCCCATGATGTCCCTGGCCGCGCACGGCGGTGTGCGGATGTCTGCTCCATGAGGCGTGTGCCCCGCAGAGGCACTCCCTGTGGGCATCCCAGGGGCTCACCTGCCCCTTGTCGCGCGGGTCTGTCGCGGACCCATTCCCCCTCGCTCTCTCCAGCATTGTGCTCCTCCTCCTGCTGTCTGCTGATGCCTTTTCAACCTGGCTCTTATGTGTTGTGTGTGTGTCCTCCGCCTCGCAGGTACTTTACCTACCAGCACTGTGCGTGGACATTGAGCCTGGTGCGCCGTGAGCGCTGGAGAGCTACAACGGCCACAAATACGAATGAAGTCAACACACGTACAAAACCAACCAACCAACCAACCAACCAACCAACCAACCCCTACTGCCCTCTCCCTGTTCTCCCCCACATCCCATACCTCCCCCGCGGGAGGCCCCAACATTGGCCATTGGCGTCCTGGAGGAAGGGGAGCGCGGAGGTAGGGGGAGGGCAGGAGGGGAGGGGGGGGTGCATGGGCGAGAGCCCCGGGGAGAGGAGGAAGAGGAGGAGGAGGAGGAGGAGGAGGAGGAGGAGGAGGAGGAGGAGGAGGAGGAGGAGGAGGAGGAGGAGGAGGAGGAGGAGGAGGAGGAGGGAGGAGGAGGAGGAGGAGGAGGAGGAGGGAGGAGGAGGAGGAGGAGGAGGAGGAGGAGGAGGAGGAGGAGGAGGAGGAGGAGGAGGAGGAGGAGGAGGAGGAGGAGGAGGAGGAGAGGAGGAGGAGGAGGAGGAGGAGGAGGAGGAGGAGGAGGAGGAGGAGGAGGAGGAGGAGGAGGAGGAGGAGAGGAGGGAGGGAGGAGGAGGAGAGGAGGAGGAGGAGGAGGAGGAGGAGGAGGAGGAGGAGGAGGAGGAGGAGGAGGGAGGGGAAGGAGGGTTGTTGGATGGGGAGAAGGGGGAGGAGGAGGAGGAGGAGGAGAAGGAGGAGGAGGAGGAGGAGATGAACGAGGAGGAGAAGGAGGTAGGAGGGGTAGGAGGAGGAGGAGGAGGAGGAGGAGGAGGAGGAGGGAGGAGGACGAGGAGGAGGAGGAGGAGGAGGAGGAGGGGATGTGGCTGGAAAAGCGGAAGCCCTAGTACTAGAGCAGGGCACACTTTCCGCGCAGAGGCTTCCGACGGGCTCCTGTGGTGGCGCAAAGGCGGTGCTAGAAATGCGCCGCCCGCCTCTGAGCAGTGACGAGGGAAAGCAACGGTGAGAGACAGCTGCCACCGGAAGGGTCCCAAGCCTTGCGAACAGGACAGAAAGGAGGGGGTGGGGCAGGGGCTCGGAGGTGGAGGAGGAGGAGGGGGAAGGTGGTCTGGTAGCTAGAGTTTAGACGAGGAGGAGGAGTAGGAGGAGGAGGCCGATGAGGAGGAGGAGGAGCAAGAGGAGCGTGAACCCAGAGGAGGACGAGGCGGAGCAGGATTGATGATGATGATGATGATGATGATGATGATGATGATGATGGTGATGGTGATGGTGATGGTGATGGTGATGGTGATGGTGATGATGGTGATGGTGATGGTGGTGGTGGTGATGATGAGGAGGATGATGATAAGGATGATGATGATGATGATGATGATGATGATGATGATGCTGATGCTGCTGATGATGATGCTGCTAATGCTGATGATGCTGATGCTGATGATGATGCTGATGCTGATGCTGATTCCGATGACGATATGGATGATGATGATGCTGATGGTGCTGCTGCTGATGATGATGCTGACGATTATTATAAGGATGACCTTGCTGATGCCGATGATGATGTTTACGCTGCTGATGATGCTGCTGATGATGATGCTGATGATGCTGATCGTGCTGATGATGACGATGATGATTGTGATGATGATGATTGTGACGATGCTGATGATGAGGATGAGTATGATGAAGATGATGATGACAATGACGATGATGATGACGATGATAATGTTGCTGCTGATGATGATAATGCTGATGTTGAGGATGATGATGATAATGCTGATGATGATGCTGCTCATTTTGATGATGGTGATGATGCTGATGATGATGCTGATGATGATGATGCTTATGCTGATGCTGCTGCTGCTGATGATGCTGCTAATGCTGATGCTGCTGCTGATGATGATGAGGATGAGGATGAGGATGATGCCGATGCTGCTGCCGATGATGCTGCTGCTGATGCTGCTGCTGATGATGATGATGGTGATGATGGTGATGGCGACGATGATGATGATGATGATGATGATGATGATGATGATGATGATGATGATGATGATGCTGCTGCTGATGATGATGATGATGATGATGATGATGATGATGATGATGATGATGATGATGATGATGCTGATGATGATGATGATGATGATGATGATGATGATGATGATGCTGCTGCTGCTGATGATGATGATGATGATGATGATGATGATGATGATGATGATGATGATGATGATGATGATGATGATGATGATGATGATGATGATCCGGAGGAGGACGGTCAGGAGGAGGAGGAGGAGGAAGAGCTGGAGGATAACGACGAGGATGACGACGACGACACGTGGAAGAGGAGAAGGAGGAGGATGCTAGTGCTGCTGATGATGAGAATTGTGATGAGGAAGAGGAGGTGGATGAGGATGATGGTGATGATCATTGCATCGAAGCTTGTGCTTAAGCTCAGCGGGACAGCCATAACAGCAGCATTGAATATGGCAGAGGAGCAGCTGCATCCAGCAGCTGCAGCACAGATCGAGGACGCCGACGAGAAAAAGTGCCAGAGGAATCAGCTCGGCATCGATAATGTTTTGCAGCATTTGGAGGCAAACCTGGGTCAGCAGAAGCCTGTGCAGAAAGGCGAGACCCTCGAGAAGTTTTTCGAGTCTACGCAGCATCCCCGACGCCGAGGTGAACGAATGACGGACTGGCTCGTTCGTTTCGAGACGGGCCTACAGCAGCTACGTGAGAACGAGGTGGACCTCAACGCGCTGGACGACGTAGCGGGATGGTTCCTGCTGCGAAAGGCCGGGCTCGCGGCCGAGCGCCGCGAGTGCGTCGTGGGCAACCTGCCCGACGAACGCTACTGCTACCAGCGCGTCCGTGGACTGCTGGTGCGGATGTTTCCGGACATCCACAACTCCGAGCGCCATGCCCCGCCGCCCTCGAGGGCGTGGAGCAACCAGTCAAGCTCCCATGGCGGCTGGCGCAGCAACGCTTCTTCCAGTCGCGGAGGGCGATCAACCGACGTCGTCGACGAGCGCGCTGACGAGGGCGACGAAGAGCAAGAGGAGGGCGACGAGGACGAGGCCGACGTGCGGGACCTCGTTCGCCAGGAGCTCGAGGCTTTCAGCGCCGAGCTCGAGTCCTCCAACGTGGGCATCTCCGAGCTGTTCGACGGCGATGACTCTGCCGAGGTCGAGGCAGCCGCGGCGAAGCTTGCCGCCATTCCCGAGGCCATGGCCACCATCAGGTCAGCCCGGGAAGCCATGAAGGGCCGCGGCAAGTCGAACAAGTCCGCGCCGTCTCGCCGCCCAGCTACGCTCCAGAACCGGGTCGACCAGCGCGAGAGGACGTCGCAGTGCTGGGGCTGCGGCGAGACGGGGCGCTGGATTGGAGACAAGGAGTGCCCCGCGCCTGGTGCCCGCAAATTCGCGCCCAAGGTCGGCAGGTCCAAGGGCGGTGGGTGGGGGGGCCCAGGAGGTCGCCCGCAGCGCCAGGCGCGCATCGCCGAACAGGTCCAGTTCGCAGACGAGGAAAGTGCTCTTCATCCGCAGGGACCTGTGTCGCCGCCACCTGGGGCCTGCGTCTCTGAGCGGCTGATTTACCACCTGCCGAACGTGAACGTTGCGATCGGCAACGGGAAGCCCGCGGACGGAGGCGTCGGCGTGGTGGGCACCGCCTGCCTCTTCTGCGTTTCGGGCAGTAGGTGGTGCGACAACAGCGAGGACATCCTCGCCAAGATGGGCCTCGCCGACCAGATCCTCGGGGAACCCGAGGACGAAGTCTATAGGTTCGGCAGCGGAGGCGCCCTCCCGAGCAAGCTGCGCGTCACCGCGCGGCTTGTGTTCTGCGGCAAGGCCGGCCGCTTCGCGTGCAGCGTCGTGGACAGCCCCGCGCTTGGCCTGCTCATTGGCCGCGACTTCATGCAGCCTTCCAAGATCGACATCTTTCTTTGGAAGGGCCAGTTCCGCATCGGGAGCTCCGCCCAGAAGCTCATGGCGAGCGCCGTGGGCCACCCCGCGATCAAGTTGCAGCCAGAAGACTGGCAGGCCATCGCGGACGCTGGCATGGAGCGACCTGCCGAGCCACCCAGCCGACCGAAGGTGAGCGACGAACCTACGGTCAACGCTACGATCAAGACCGGCACGCTGATTGATACGCTTAACGAGCTCGTCACGAAGAAGGAGCTGAACGT